AGTGGACCTCGACCTCGCAATTGCGCCATTTTCGCAATTTCGCAAAAGTCTAAGGTCATCATTTGACTTTCCAAGTCTGGTCAATGACTTAAAAAGTTGGGAAAATCGGGCCCTCTTAGAACTCCGTAAAGTGAGGATGTTACAGGGTATTTCGGGGTGCTGATCACGAATTTCATGTTAGTTTTTATCACAGACGATCGCTTCATGCAGATATGCCAGGTCGGGTTAGGTTAGGTCATGTCAACCAATAGGCGTCCTGCTTGCTATTCACATAAGGTGTCGACTACCATTGACAGCTTTGAAGAATGTTACGAAGGCGCCAAAACTACTTCGTAAATTTTCAAATAGCTGTTAAATTCGAAATCAGCTCCAAAAACCACTCTAGAAACAAATAAAACTCAAAAAGTGAACCAAGGTCATCAATGGTCATTTACCTTGAACTGACCTCAACGTGACCTTGTCGTCCACCATAATGCATCGCATCAACATCATTACACATGTTTGAACGTTTAAAGCCACAAAAAGACTAAAAACGTGCGGATAATGTAAGCTGACGTAGGCCGATTCGCGATTCTGCCCAAACATTGTCTCAAGAAATAGGTCACAGGACAAAAGGTCAGTTGGGTCAGGGTCATGAAAATTTTAGGCTAGGTGTAAAATTGATGAACTCGAGGGTACCGAAAGTTTCGTCGTGATCAGCTGCTTTTTTCGCGAGAAATTAGCGAAAAACCATGGGGGTCCATCCGACATGAGGTATGTGCCGTGTGTATACTGCATATTCACCGCATCGGGACCTCGGTAACGGACAGACGCAGCCTTCTTGAATAGTATTATCACGGAACATATAGTCTATGTCGTAGACTATATATTCCGTGGTATTATATACGGCTGAAGTCCGCTCCAATCGTGATAACTCGTATATGACTGAAAAGAATCGGTATTTCGCGGATTCACTGAAAAAGAATCGCTAGTCCGCGGACTAACTAGGAAGTTCGCAGATCCCCGCGACTCTTCAGTGACTTCACGGATGCACTGAAAACTCTAGTAAATCCGCGAAGCCACGGCAGTGATTCCGCGGATTCACGAGAGTTTACGTGACTCCGCGGAGTCCCTAGGATCAACCAGTGAATTTGCGAACTCACGGATTTCGCGGACACACTGTAACATATATAGGACCAAGAGGACCATCACTCCTCAACCTACTACTCAGTCGTGCTTCGAACAAACGTTAACGATTCCTAACAAATACGATTTTCGATGTAGGGTATCTGTTTGAAATACGAGCGAGCCGTATGATGTGAAGCTCAGGCAATTAACTTATTATTGCGTTGTTCGATGGTTGCATAGCGATGTACAAATCGGCAGCTACTTGGTGACATCCGACATCCCATTATCGCATTATCTGCAACGCCATAGGCTTTAAATACAGGTGAACATTTCCTAACCTTATGTCAGTTATATGCCATCTGCCCGTCATTTGCAGCTTATAAAAAAATATATATATCAGCGAACATATCAGCATTGTAGAAGCAATGCGCATTGAGCATTTATGACTCCTTAGTCATCATGTCGCTCTCTGGGCACTGTCAGCCAAGACGCTACGCACAACTCCGCCGGCTTTCGGCACCGCTCGACCGTCGCCCGTCCCCGCTCCCCGCCACAGCGAGAGTGACCGCGCGCCGGCCCGAAACCGCCGCAGGCCAAGACCACAGAGGCGGGGCTTAGCTGTGACGTCATAACGTATCACAGACTGACTGGTGATAGCCTCTACACACCGGATGAAAATCTTGCTCGAAATTTAACATTACTAGTCAATGACAAGTGCCTGAAATATTGAAATGGCGATAAAATATCTAAATTGTAAAAGTTTCGGCCTGTCTTGAAACGGCCATGTCCTGAGCTTGGTTGAAATTCCTTCACGCATTTAAAAGTAATCGCGAAAAATTAGGGTCTCAAGGGGTCTGGCGTTAACAGTAGCACCACGCGGCGGCTGGCGCCGTGCCGCCGCGTTCCCGGTCAGCCGTGTTTTAGCGTTCACTGACGAGTCGAGGTGATTATTCTAAGCTTTCCTAAGAAGCTTTCTGCCCTGCAGCTCATTATTGAGCAAGAATATCGCACAAACTGCATAGAACATTGACATGCAGGTTGTCGGCACATATGGAGAAGGGGATGTTTTGGTTAATGCCTCCTCTAATAGGAAGAGATTGTGGAAGAACAACACATTTCTCTTGGAAATTACTCATCCTCCTTCTTCCTACGTGCCTGCTTTAGTAATCGAAGTACCCCTATTGACTCTACGTTCTTGATTCGGCTGTCGATTTTATGCATGGAATTCCGCTATATTACATTTTCTCGCTCAATGTCCCCTGAGCTATATTGAGGCGTCACGGGACAGCAATGCTCAGCACACAACTGCAGAGAAAAAGTCAATGTGGTCATGCGTTTTGTATGCCAAAATGTGTGAGCCTTGGCGTGTACCAGCAGCCGTTGTCACCATTGTAATTTTCACGACTTTATCTTTATAAGGATGCAATTGCCCACTTCCCAGTTCCCAGACTGGGTTTGGAGATATAGTTTTACAGAAACATTTAGGAATGTCTGTAATGTAAGTTAAAAGCTAATACTGAAAGGAATCCACATATTTTCGAATTTCCTGTTTGCTGTATTGCTTAGTAAATGCCAGACGTCATGATGGCATGGTTGCGATTGATGGTATGCCGGATGGCCAGGGTACGAACTCACGGTAAGTCATCTTGGCCGGCAGGCATCAACAGGCACACTAGTCTTACACTGATATCGTCACCCTCAGTTATTCGTCACCATTCAGCAACAAGCCCAGAGCTTCGGGCTTTGAACCGTAAGGCACAGGTGTAGCAGCAAGACATTGCGCCGATTCGAAGGGCTGGAAGGGCAGCATCGCGGGGGCTGGAATGCGCCTGAGCGGCTGAGACCATCCCATTGGGACGGGGGTGTTCTGGGTGCACTCAGCCGCTCATGCTGGGAAATGCATCCAATGGAGCTCTACCCCATCCCCACCCGTTTCGAATGATTAGGCTGACCTTTAGTCTAGAACAAAGAAGGATGATGGTTGGCTGGTCCCGAGGATAGAAAGGACAGGTAATGACATCATATAATGAATCGAAGACGGCCCCGGCCCGATCCTCTGATAGAGGCTCATCAACACGTATCTCGTTGTGGACCATTTCGTTTTCCTCCACCGTGGTTTTTGCACCGACCTCAACGGGTTGGAAGATTACGATGTTCAGAAACCATTAAGGTCGTAATTGTATATTCGTTGAGTTAGGTTAGCCTTTCCATTCCATGAAGACTACTTTATAATTATTGGATGATAGGATGAGGTTTTCACTGTGTTGAACCTGTCCTACCTGCTCAGTGAACGAATATACAACGAATATACAATTACGATCTTAATGGTTTCTGAACATCGTTACCTTCCAACCGGTTCAGGTCGGTGCAAAAACTACGGTGGAGGAAAACGAAATGGTCCACAACGAGATACGTGTTGATGAACCTCTATCAGAGGATCGGACCGGGGCCGTCTTCGATTCATTATATGATGTCATTACCTGTCCTTTGTATCTATCCTCGGGACCAGCCAACAGTCATCCTTCCTTGTTCTAGACTAAAGGTCACCCTAATCATTCGAATGGAGAGCTCCATTGGATGCATTTCCCAGCATGAGCGGCTGAGTGCACCCAGAACACCCCCGTCCCAATGGGATGGTCTCAGCCGCTCAGGCGCATTCCAGCCCCCGCGATGCTGCCCTTCCAGCCCTTCGAATCGGCGCAATGTCTTGCTCCTACACCTGTACCTTACGGTTCAAAGCCCGAAGCTCTGGGCTTGTTGCTGAATGGTGACGAATAACTGAGGGTGACGATATCAGTGTAAGACTATTGTGCCTGTTGATGCCTGCCGGCCAAGCTGACTTACCGTGAGTTCGTACCCTGGCCATCCGGCATACCATCAATCGCAGCCATGCCATCATGACGTCTGGCATTTAATAAGCAATACAGCAAACAGGAAATCGAAAATATGTGGATTCCTTTCGGTATTCGCTTTAACTTACATTACAGACATTCCCAAATGTTTCTGTAAAACTATAATATCTCCAAACCCAGTCTGGGAACTAGGAAGTGGGAAATTGCATCCTTATAAAGATAAAGTCGTGAAAATTACAATGGTGACAACGGCTGCTGGTACACACCAAGGCTCACACATTTTGGCATATACAAAACGCATGGCCACATTGACTTTTTCTCTGCGGTTGTGTGCTGAGCATTGCTGTCCCGTGACGCCTCAATATAGCTCAGGGGACATTGAGCGAGAAAATATAATATAGCGGAATTCCATGCATAAAATCGACAGCCGAATCAAGAACGTAGAGTCAATAGGGGTACTTCGATTACTAAAGCAGGCACGTAGGAAGAAGGAGGATGAGTAATTTCCAAGAGAAATGTGTTGTTCTTCCACAATCTCTTCCTATTAAAGGAGGCTTTAACCAAAACATCCCCTTCTCCATATGTGCCGACAACCTGCATGTCAATGTTCTATGCAGTTTGTGCGATATTCTTGCTCAATAATGAGCTGCGGGGCAGAAAGCTTCTTAGGAAAGCTTAGAATAATCACTTCGACCCGTCAGTGAACGCTAAAACACGCGGCTGACCGGGAACGCGGCGGCACGGCGCCAGCCGCCGCGTGGTGCTAGTGTGCGCGTAACTAACGGGGAGACTTCAACGCCTGGCGCCGTCCCGACAGGCCTCCGTTCAACCGCTCGCAGCAGGCTAGGTTTTCGACCCAGATTTTTTTGATTGGTATCTTACGGCTTCAAACATGCCAGGGACCAATAAAATTTAGTAGTGAAGACGATTAAAAAAAATCAAAATTCGACGATACACCCTACGTGAGTGCAACAGTCAAAGCTGCCTTACGTTTGCCATCCAGAGCCCACCACACAGCTTTGCTCGCTGCTCTGCACATACCGAAGGTGCAGGAGACTCTACGTCGCTCCATCATCGCGTGCTTCCGTGATGCGTTCCGCGAAAATCATGCCGCCTACGCCAAATTCTGGTTGCCAGCCTGGCCACTCTTGTTCTTGGGGATGCCTCATCGGGACACTGCGCGCCTATCGTTAGATTTATGTTCATCGTATGTGGGGCCAATATGAGTGTGCTTCTACAGGTTGCTTGAGGTCATATCCCACCTGAGATCAGTACACCCCAAGACCCCCCTGTGGACTCACCGACTCGCTCAGTTGGCTCTTGGCTGATGGCTCAGAACACTGGGGAGGCATGGGCACTAATACAAATGATATTAGCGCCACCCATATGATAGTGTTATGTTGTTTTTGGTATGCCTATGTTTTGGTGTAGGTATGATTGTGCATTGTTTTCTGGCGTATGTCTTGTGTGCATTGTGTATGTTTGTTATGCCCATGCTTGTCTTGTCTCTACACCTTTTTAGGCGCAATTTCAAAAATTCAAAGACCAAATTCAAAAAGTTAACATTCAAAATGCACGTGAACGTTTTGAATTTGGTCTTAAACTTTTTGAAATTGCGCCTAAAATGCTGTAGACGTAATACAATTGATGATGATGATGATGATGATTACATTTACCTACATTTACCTACATTTACCTACATTTTGTTGAATGTAGGTAAGGACATACCCCTGTTTTAGACCAGCGTTGTTATTGAAAAAAGCTGAAGAAGTCTGCTGCGTCAAAACCTATTTTTATTTTGCATGCTATTTCAAAAGTACCTAGGTACTCATTTGCAATACAAAATCTTGGCGCGCGCAGAATTTCGTTTCAGGCAAGATAAAAAATATCCAACCTAGAATTTAATTTGATTATAGGCATGGAGTTAATGAGCAATGCCCGGAGTCGGAGCTGGAGTCGGAGATCGAGTTGGATTCGATTTTTGAAGCCGGAGTCAGAGTCGGAGTCGGAGTCGGAGTCACCTTAAAATCTATCGACTTCGCACTCCGCAGCCCTGGTCAAAATAGCCCTGATTGTTTATGACGATCGTTGACAACAACGTGAGCTATTCGTCTTTCCGACTATCGGTCGCCGGCTGGTGTAACTTTTTCAAACTTTCTCCACCTTAATTGCACTACTACTATGGCCTTTTTACGTGTTTATCGTCCTTACGACATACGAGAGCTCCGAATAACTACCTAGCATCGAAAAGTATTCCGTATTGATGTGAAATAAGAAAGTTCACTTCAAAGTACTGAATAAAGCACTGCGGCCGGAGCGGTATGGGCGTGAACGCTCTGTGTCGGCTGGCGGTTACCGGCGTGACGACGAATGCTCAGCGCAGCGGTGCTGCCCCCTCCACCACTCGGCGGTCAGTGACGGCGCGCTGCCGTGGCAGTAACTCCTCCCCAGTTGGGTCGTTGGCGCCGACCGTGCTGCTATCGCTGCGATAGCAGTCCTCAACGCTTTGTTCGCGGTGGGGGGTGCTTATGGCCGCGGCTGAGCGTATACTTGAACTGCAAACCGGCTCGAACACTGCCAACAAGCGAGTTCCATCAGTGTGTCCGAGTAGTGAGTGGAGAGACGTGTGACTGCTGGACTACCACCCCTCCCCCGCCGGAGTGCCGACAAGTGGTGTCCACGGTCCTGTGTGTGGTGGGGGAAGGTCGCCGGACGTGTGTCGTTTGCTGGAGAGCGCTGCGTCGTGTCCGGTCACAGCATGATAGTGCACCATGTGAAGGGGCGTCGCGTGCAACTGCTGCTGGCAGTGACGCTGGCCGCGGCCGCCCTGGTGGTGCTCTGGGTATGTCTGGGCAGCGAGGAGCCGGCGGTAGCCCCCCTGCCAGAGCCGCGGCTCACTCGGGACCTGCGCACCGCCTGTCGCCTGCTGCTGCGGCCTGACCACGATCTGCCGCTGACATCCCGGGAGCGCGTGACCTGGGTGTGCGGCCGGCTGGGCGTGCTACTGCCGTGGCGGCGCCAGTTCGGCTGCGGCCGTCAGGTGACCTACGAGCCGGCCGGCAGCCTGGAGCAGGACCTGCTGCGCTACGCGGTGCTGTTCGGCCTGCAGCAGCTGCTGCGCGCTGAGTCGCTCGTGGAGCCGCGCATGCTGGAGGTGCTGCAGCCGACGTTACCCGGTCTGACCCTGCCGGTGCTGTCGCCGAGGCCGCCCCAGGAGCGGTGGCAGCCGGTGGCGTTCTGGCCTGCTCTGGACCAAGTGCGCTGCCGACCCGGCGAGGTGTCCGGCGTCTCTGAGCCGCAGCGGTACCGGCTGCGGGGACCTCCCGACGGCAGCGCGCTCAGCCTGCTCCGGCCGTTCGAGGAGAGCCTGCGCCGCGAGCTGCGGCTGAGCAGCGCGCTGCAGCGGGACGCCGACAGAGTCCTGCTGGCGGCGCTCGGCCGGCGCCCGTCTGCCACCTACATCGGCGTGCTGCTGCCACCGGACGGCCGGCGCGCCACCGTGCCGCCCCAGTACCTCCGCAACAGCCTGAGCCACTACCGACGCCGCTTCAGTGACGCACTCTTCATAGTGGTGGTGCCCAATGTGTCGGAGACCTCACTAGTCTCCACGCTGATGATTGAGAGCGACGTAACTCTGCTGCCGGCAGAGGTGGCGGCTGACCCTTCTCTCTCGCTGGCTGTGCGCGCTGCCTGTAACCACTCGGTAGTGACGGGAGACGAGGGGTTCTGGGGCGCCTTCCTGGCCGGTGGCCAGGTGACCGTGCCGCCGCCGGAGCGCTCCGACGCCGAGGGCTTCGGCTGGCTGCGGCTCACCTCCCAGCTGGCCGACGACCCGCGCTGGACCGTCGTCAGATGATGCTCAACTGCCCTGCACACACAGCGCGGTGGCGACATTTTGTGATAATGAGACGGTATGCGGCTGGTGGTATTTCATTCTATTGGTGACGGACGTCCCTAACTGTCAGTGTCGTTTGAATAGCACAGGGAAATCCGACTAAAAGCTGACCGAGTCGAGTGACACGATACAAACTATCGCGCGCCGGGCTGCGCTGATAATGAATTGAAGCATGGTGTCGGTTGTTACACATTTATTTCGTATAATGGTGGGATGTAAGCAGGTGGTTTCAGTGGATTATTCCTCCATTTGCTAAGACAGAATTGCTATATTTCGCAGCATGAATGACGATTTGATCATGCGTATACATGTGCGTGTACACATGTATAAATTTCAAGTATGACCCGTTGTCCAATCCAAGCCCGGGGCTTTGTGGTCCGTCCTAGTTCTAGTGCCGTGCCTTATCACTTCCGTCTTTCGAGGTCGTTCAGCGCCGGTCGAGTCGGCCGCTTTTAGACGGCCGTCACTGCCGACTGAAGGTCTCTTACGTGCTGTCGATGCCGCCGCCGCACGCCGCCGACTAGCATTAGTGGAGCTTGTAAGTGTGGCTGTAATTGAACCGGGCCCAGGCCACCCAGGGCGTGTCCCGCTGGCTTATCTACATATCGTATACCTACGCTGATCAACAGTAAATATGATAGCAGCCATAGGCCAGATAGGATATCAATAGCACGCCGAAGCCCAGAGACTGTGTTTGTACACGTTTTAACGCTAAGGGCCAATACACGTGAGCATCAGAGGCCATTGCTGTTTGTTCAGCGGTCACCGGCGGCTGACCAGTCGTGTTCGGGTCTGAGGTGCGGCCGCGGGGGACCGCCCACGGCGCGCAACACCTCGCTCGCGTAGCAGCTGTCCAGCAGGCCCGCCTCGCGCAGACGGTTCTCCAGACGCAGTCGCCGGTCCGATGTCAGCTGACTGTCCCAGAAGGAGTGGTTGGCCGCGTGCGCCGGCGGCGGCGGCGGCGCCGGTCCCTCGTGGCGCGCCCGCGTGGCCAGTGTCTCGGCCAGCAGCCGGTCCGGGTCGCGCTCCGCCTCGACACGAACCTCACAGCGCAGCGCGTCCAGCCGGCTCTGACGCTGCGCCTCCTGCTCGGCAGCCAGCTGACGGCGCTGCTGCTCCGCGCGCAGCCGCTCCTCTCGCAGTCCGCTGCGCAGCTCCACTCGGCGCTGGTTGTGCGCCGCCTCTGCACGCCGCCAGTTGCGCAGCGCGGCGTGTCGCTGCGCCTCCGTCTCGCGCAGCTGCTGCTCTCGCTCACGACGCCTCTCCTGGAATAGGGTGATGCGCTGGCGCTCGGCGCTGCGGCGCGCCTGCTCGCGCAGCCGCACCGCCTCCTGCTGCTGCCTGGCGTCGACCGCCTGCTGCTCGGCGGCCGCCACGCGGCGCCGCTCCTCGGACATGGCTCGCTCGCGCCAGGCGTTGACCTGCTGGCGCAGCTCCCTGCCGCGCCGCAGTGTCTCAGCGTGCTCCCGCTGCGCCTCCTGGCGCTGACAGTTGACCTGCAGCCAGCCGAGCACCTGTGCCTCTAGCTGGCGACCCAGCACGTCTTTCTGCAGGCGCCAGTCGTGCACAGCGGCGGCGTGCGCGACCAGCACGGCCTCGCGGCGGCGGCGGGTGGCACGCGCCGCCGCGCGCTGCCGCTCCGTCAGCGCCGGCCGCAGACGCGCCATCAGGTCGTTGACCAGCTCCTCTCTGCCGGGCGTCTGTGGCGGGTAGGCGCGCTCCACGGCCGCCCAGCAGCTGACCGCGTCCTCGGGCTGAAACTGGACGGCGGCCAGCGCCGCGGCCAGTCGCGGCACCGTCAGGTCCGCCGGGCCGCCGCAGAAGCCGTGCCTGCTCCAGCCGGCCGCCAGACGCGCCATGTAGGCGCAGTCGACCACGGCGCAGTTGTCGCTCACCTCCTGCTGTGTCTCCGTGTCGAGCAGCGTCAGCCAGCGCCAGTCAGCCGGCACGCCGGTGGGCAGCTCCAGCGCCGGGTCGCAGGCCGCCACCGCCGCCCGGGACACCTCCTGCTCGAGACGCGCCTGTTCAGTGTTCAGCTCTGCCAGCACGGCCCCCTGCTCTGCCCGCACCGCAGCCAGTCCGCCGGCCTCGCCGCCGGCCAGTCGACGGTGCCAGTCGCGCAGCCTCGCCGACTCCTCGCGGCGGCGTGCATCCCGCAGCTGGTCCTCCTCGGCGCAGAGTTCGGCTGCCAGCGGCGAGTTGAGCAGCGCCTGACGCCGCTGCTGCTCGGCCGCCTGTCGGTGCGGCAGCGCCGCGCGGATGGCCGTCACCAGACAGGCGGCGTGGCGCACGGCGAGCACGCGCTCTGTGCGCAGCCGGTCCGCCTCGGCCAGCCGCTGCGTCAGGCTGGTCGAGGCGTCCGAGGCGAGCTGGCGCTCCCGGCGCACCAGCTGGCACAGGCTGGACGTGTCGCTGGACGTCAGACTGGCGGTCGACGCGCAGAGACGGGACGAGCGCCTCCAGGACATGCTTTCTCATGGAGCAACTACAGGCGATAGATGAGACAATGGCCTGCGATGAGCGGTACCGAGCACGGACGAGTAGATTAGGTCAAGAACAGATAGACGATGCCGAGCTTTCTTACCACTGGCAGGGGTTCAACGTGCCAGTTCAGTCAGTGTCCAGAATAGGACACCGGGCCGGGTCGTGGGTTCGGCGGGGCGTCACCGGTGCAATGGTGGGGCGGCCGTTGACGCTCAGGGTCGGTGCGCTTCGTCGGCCGAGCTTGATCTAAGAGCGACCGCCACAACAAGCTGGTTGCGGTCGTCTGTGGGTCGGCCGGAGTCGTCTGCAGACCGGTCACTGTAACCTCACTATAATGAGCCCGCCACAGGGAGAGTCCGGCGTGTGCAGTGTGCACTGTGCAGCGCAGCTTTACAGCAACCGCTTGGTGAACAGTTGTTTGATCAATACCGGTATTACGTTTATGAGCGGACAGAGTGAGTCAGACACATTACCGACACGGGGCCTACGATCAATACACCGGCGGCACTCTTTGTAAATAAAATGGGTTTAAAAACAGACTGCATAACAATTATATTTAAAAACTGAACGAATGCAAAGAATGCAGCGTTTGTTGCCCTCTTGAGACATATGATAAGGTCGGTTACGATCAATTTCTACTTACACTAATATTAGGCAAATGCTTTTAAGTGTCCCCAGTTTTTAAAATGATTGTACAAGTTTAAACGTCATACACCGAATGGGCCGGTAACTAACTGGGCGTATTATTGATTCGTCACTATAAAATGCCTTGTCAAGCCCTGTATTTGTCGCATTAAAATCTGTTAAAATCCTCTGAAATGGAAAAAAATGAACTCAACTGCTATCACGTTAATAACTGTTTTTGACTGCTGCTGCTAAGGAAACGCCTTAACATGACAGAAAGCTTCTCTGACAAGATATCGCTGATGTTCTTGGAAGATATGTACATGCGTATGTATGTACATTCATCCTGTGTTTTGTTTGCTTCAATTTCTTTTTTGTTTAACATAGGCAGGAGTAGGACTCCTGACCACCTCATTGGCGGCGGAACGGGAAGGGCACCGGGGCACCGTGCCCCCTTTGATTTTGGCATTTAAACATTAGCCCTATCGGCGTTGCATGGAAAGAATGGGACCAAAAGTCGGCAGTGCCCCCTCCCCCTTAATTGAAGGTGTTCCGCCGCTACTGGCCCACCTTGTCGGGCCAGATTAGATCAACACGAGGATCGGCGGGTGGCACAATAGTCAATAACAACCACGACAGCGGCACCGCCAGCTCCTAAAAGTGACCATCCCACCTTAACACTTAGTTTTGAGTTGAGATAGCCAAAATGGGGTCCCTGGCTAGTACTTATACCGGTGTGCGCACTCACAACATCGAGAAAGGCCTAAATTCGGAGCTATTTAATTTCAAAGTTGCAGCACTTTGGATTCAGAGGGGCCAATGCATTTGAATGCCCCCTCTGAATTTTTGACGTCAGCGCAGGTCTACTCGTATAATAGCCTTTTTCACGACGGGCTATCCGGCGAGTGCACCTGATTTGACCAAATCTGCACCTAATCTCTTTTACAGCAAATACCTATCTTTATTTTATGAATTCATTTCGGTGTTTTAACCCTCGCCCTCACATGGGGGGGTTGCCACCCCCCCCCCCCCCGGTAGTCTTTCTGCTCTGCACTCAACATTTTTAGAGCTAGAAGGCTGATTTTTCGTATAGCTGCTCCTCTATCCTTTCTTCATGTCCACTAAAAATTTCAAGTTTCTGTGGTTTTTGGTTTCGGAGATATGACCTTGTTGTTCAGGTCATGTCATGACCCAAATGGCCAATTCTCAACATCTTGCGTTGGCTATGGGCCTTGTGAGCTTTTAACACCTTGATTTCGGCCTTTTATACCAATCCTACCTCCCACCTATCATGAAACATGTTCGACGATGTACAGAGGTCAAGGTCAGGGTCAAGGTCAACCTAGGTCATCTAAGATAATTGCGTTTTAGGCAAGCTGAATTTACTTTTTTTAAATTTTTTTACTACATTTTTGGTAAAAGCTTCTCAGATCATGATTTCATGTAATATGGACACATAAACAATCGGTGCACACATCAGTATACACACAGACACACACAGACATACAAACACATATTATTGACCTTGACCTAACTTGACCTGAGATGACCTCAGCAGCAAAAACCTGGTCGGATAGTGTGACGAAGAGGTTCTAGTTGGCTTGACACCAGAAAACGGCATCGTCATCGGTATATGACAAGCAGCGCGCTTGATATCCAACGGTGACCTAAAACAGCAACATTTTTTAGTTTGACCTGACCTGGAAGGTCAATGACTGACCTGAGAAGGTAAAACTGGGTATCATTGGATTCGTCTCTTCCCAAAGAATCTTTTTGCTCTTACCGCTAAGCTCTATCTCCAACAGGAACGAAATGGCGCAGGGGGGGGGGGTGGCAACCCCCCCCCCCAATGTGCGTTCTAGGATGGGAAAATGGCATGTGCGGGCGAGGGTTAATCGATGATATTCTCTGATAATATGACAAAGCAGGCATATAAGCAATTAGTGCAACCCTAGCTGATAGCTACTAAGAGACACACTGAACCTGAAGTTTGACCAAATCTGCACCTGATCTGCACCAGATGTGTACCAAACGTGTACCAAATAGCCGTCGTGAAAACGGCTAATAGCGATTTTACAATCTTATACTAACATATTTTTGAAGCAGTGGTGGTATAGGCTTTTTGCGCACAACTACCGCACTTTTAAGATACCAAATTATTGCTTCCAATTAACGTCGTAGGAACAGCTAAAGCTCTGAAAAATAAGTAAAAGTAATTTTTTTTATATGTCAAAAACCGTCAGATATTTTTCAATAAAATTTGGTAGATATTCATTTTTGCTCACTATGACCCATACGACACCACTTCTATGCTAATTCATTAACTTTTTGAAGGTGGAAGGGTCCCTTTAATATCTGAAATGCGTTTAGATCCCCTTCTGTCGTTCATTTTATTATGAGTGAAATAACAAAAATACATGAGTGCACAGTTTGCTGACTTTTGAAACCTTCAGCAAAGTTGCATACTAAAAAGAAGCGCGGAATATGACCTTTTTTCATTCGATTCCGCTTTTAACCCGGCAGTTGCTGGTGTTGCGCCACGAACCACTTGCAGGGGAAGGGTCAAGGGAGAGGGGGCATTAAACGTTCCCAGCCGATAACTCGAGAACCAATAGGTACAGAGAAGCGCGCGAGGTGGCAAACGTCGACTAACTCGGGCTCAGCGACCGCTAGTCCACCAGGGCAGGCCTCCCAAGATCTGATCCTTAGGCACCTGCGAGGGACCCTCTGTCACTGACTGGTATGTATATGGGCTCTCAAGACTCAAAACTCTACAAGGAGCCCTTAGAGGCCGGATTGAGGTCCTAAGAAGCATGAGTAGACCCTCAGAAAGCAATGGGGCCCTAACCATAGGCTCTGAGGCACGTGGCGACACGCGGTGAGCGGTATTCAAACGAGCTTCACAAATACCTACTAAAATAGGCATTTTGCTCATTTTTTAAATCAGGTCAAAAGTCAGGTCACCTCAAGTCACCTTAACCCTCGCCCCGTTGGGGGGGGGCCATTTTGGCCCCCCCTGTGGTTTTTCCTGAATAGCAAGAAAACGGCGGCGCGCAGCGCCGCCAAATTTTCAGTACCTTCCCGGGCATCAATTTGACACCTTCACACCAAATTTCAAGTCTTAGGTCACCTTAGGTCAGGAGTTATTGAGGTCAAACTGAGGTCATGTTCGAGCAAAAATGAGCAAAAAACATGCAATCTTGAAACGCTCACCAAATCTATAGTTATCAAGCAATTTCAAAGTTCTTTATATGGTCTAGTAGACAAAAAGCGGCGCTACAAAACTGCTATCTCGGATTTTCAAAATTTTTGTTTTTTGACCAAAAAAAAATCAAAAAATTGATTTTTTTAGAAAAACTTTGAAAAAATCCAAAAATTTTCCGAATTTCGAAAAAACCGGAATATATGTGATAGTCCCAGCGCTTTTCTATATACATACCAAATTTCAGATCGATATCTCGTTTTTTGGCCAAGTTATAGCGAAAAAACTGTTCAAAAATGATGACGTCAAATTTTCGAACTCAATTTTTAGCAATTCTAGACCACGTACGGCAAAACAAAGACCACCATTGAACTCCCCGTGACGAGCTGCATCGATTCGATACCCATTTTATGCAAAAATATTATTTTTGAAATTTGACCTAATTTGACCTGACCTTGACCTGACCTTGACCTGACCTTGACCAAAACGTGATCTAAGCTGGCCCCAAAGGCTGCCTGACCCATATGATCGCATTTGTCATGTAAAATGGACCATAAAACATGTATCACACGACACTTTCATATTGTGACCCCCCCGTGACCTGACCTCTGTGACCTGACCTGGTATCAGTGACCTCAAATAGCAAAATATGTGTTTGAAGAACATTTCCTCATCGATGATTTTCAATGAAATGCATTTTACTCGATTTTACAACGCATTTCTTGAAGTGCCTGTAAACGGTGAAAATTGGACCTTTGACCTGACCTGTGACGTCATCGGTTTGACCTAGGTCAATAAAATTGGGTCACAAGGTAGTTCCCCGTTGGGGCTATCCAACGCCGTTTACCGCTTGTCGCTATGTTGCGTGGTTCTCGAGATCTTAGGGGGGGCCAAAATGGCCCCCCCCAACCGGGCGCGTTGCTCGGCAGAGCCCAACGGGGCGCGGGTTAACTGTCAAATTTCACCTATTTAAACATTGTTTGACAAACTGGCGAATGACTGGGAAACGACCAGAGCTATAGCGCCATAGAAAAGCGCATTTAATCCTCGCCGGCACAGGCCATTTTGCGTCCTTCGACGGCACAGGGGGGGGGGAGGGGTACGTCCCCCCTCGAGTTTGGCCCCTGATCGAGCTAGAGCTTCGCGGAAAAAAAACTA